ATTACAGCATAACTATTGTTTCAAAGAATGATGTTGTTCCTCGTGTACTATTATGGGGTGGTCTCCCAGATATATTTTCTCTTCTCAGTCCCCTGAATTTGGAGTGACCCAGAACTCAGTTCTCTCTTCTTCCCCATCTACACTTATTTCCTCCCTTGGCGATGTCACCCAGTCCCAGGAATTTAAATATTGTCTACATGCTAACCACCTGATGGCCTGTGGAAAGAAAGGGTATTCTATATTCAGGGGTGGATACAAGTTTTCTGAAAAAGAATTTGAAATCGTAAATAAAATATGCCTGCTCCACTCCGATGCTATCCAATAAGAGATGTTACAAATACAAAATGCTGGTGTCCTGCTCTGAGAGGGGTCCTTGGAAGGGAGTGGCCTTGTATGCTATAGCCTAAGCAAGGGCCTGGAGACAGGAGCAGAATGATATGACGAAGGCATCAGTAAGGGAATACCACTATTTCAAAGCCAGGGGATGGGGTGGGTGAAAAAAAATCACCCATCGGTTTGGGCAATTTGTTCTTTGCCCTCTATTCATTCGGATGTCTATAGAACAATAACCTGAATCTATCATTTGATTTGGCTTCCTAAAAAAATGGTACATTACTCATTGTGAAAGCGGAGGGGCAGGGGGGAGAGAGTTTCTGTGGGCTAACTAACAAAATAATCCTCCTGAGACAGCAAGCAAATGTACATGATTCTTTATTTCCAATATCATCTCCAGAAATCAAAGTTTCACTGCCTCTATTGTAAGCTCTGCTTTTCAACCAATAACACGCTCAGCTAAAATTCGCAAAGAATTCTTTCTTTCCACATTGAAAAGCCTGGCGACTTTGATATGACTGTAGTCTGCCCCTCGTTATACGTGAGTACAAACATGTAAAAAATATTTATACATCTCTCCAATCTATAGAAAACCATTTTGGGGTCTTGAAAACAGTCTCTTTACAGATGGAGAGAATGTGAGAGAAATGCCCTCAGTGTGCTGGCTAAAAACTGCAATGTCTGCCCAGCACTGTGCTTCCTCTCATAACAGGGGATGCTCTGCTGAATGAGCCCTTGTATGTCAAAATTCAAAAAGTTCTTGTTTGCTCCAGTTGAACAAAGCTCTCACAGACAGTGGGATCTGCAGGGTAGCCACCAAGTGTGTTGAACCAATGTTCCCTCCACCACACTGCCGAATAGTTTATCGTAATGGCAGTTCTCACCTTCATGTATAGAGCCCGGTGTTCACAGTGCCGTCCCGCACAGAGCTCCCACTGACTTCAAAGGAAATGACATAGAACAGAACCCCATGGTGTAAGGAGAAACAAGCAGCATCTGATCAGAATCAGGCCATATTTTTTTCATTCTCTCTGTATAAATGGCTAAATTTATATACAGAATATTTAAAGGCCACCTTTCACTGCAGCAGTTTATGAATTGTCAGATGTACATACACTTATTAGGGAGCTCAACACTGAACTGCTTATGTAGGAGGGAAAGGGAGAGGGTTGTGTTGTAGAGAAATCCATCCCAGTTCCACGGTTTTTTTGGTCTACAAGACCCCCCCACACACACACAAGAGACCAAAGCGATTTGGGCTGGCTTAGTGGCTCGTTTAACTTAAAGCTGGCCTTAAGGCAGCTTTATGAAAAAGAAGGAAGAGACAGAGGAGAAAGAGAGGGAGGAGGAAGGAGAAGGGTTGGGGGACATACGGTTATTAAATCCTGGATAGGGGAGGTCTCTTTCTAAACTTAAAACTAAGGGGAGGAGGAGCCACTAAAGAACAGTAAATTTAACTACAAAAAAAGAAAAATTCCACATGTCAAAAATCCAAATAAGATACATTTAAATGACAAATAAAAAACTGGGGGGAAATATTGGTGACAACTTAGATAGGTAAAGGATTAATATTCTCCTGAATTGATAAAGAACTCAGGAAAGCTGATTTAAAAGAAGAAAAACACTCCCACAGCTAATATCACACTCCATGAGGAAAACCTGAAAGCTTTTCCTCTAAGATCAAGACCACGACAAGGATGGCCACTCTCACCACTTTTATTCAACATAGTGCTGGAAGTCCTAGCCAGAGCGATCAGACAAGAAAAAGAAATAAAAGGCTTCCAAATTGGTAGGGAAGAAGTCAAACTGTCACTATTTGCATATGACATGGTACTATATAGAAAACCCCAAAGACTCCACCAAAAAACTATCAGAACTAATTAAATGAATTCAGTAAAGTTTCAGGATACAATTAATAAACAGAAATCTGTTAGATTTCTATACACACATAATGAAGTAACAGAAAGAGAAATTAAGAAAACAATCCCATTTGCATTTGCATCAGGAAGAATAAAATACCTGGGAAAAATTAAGCCAAAAAAAAAAAAGTGCAAAAATGCCCATAGAGTAAACAAAGGATCCATACAATTCACAGAAACATAAATTTAAATGGCCAATAAACATTTGAAAAATGTTCAGTGTTACTAATAACCAATAAAAGCAATGAAATAGAAACAATGTTTTCATTTCAAACTGGCAAATAGGAAAAATGAAATCACATATTGTAGCCTTTTCAAATATAAGCAATAATCAGAAAATGTAACTCTTTAAAAGTGCCTTTTCAAAAAACCAACAAAAACAAATAAAGTACCAAAGGCTGTACATAATAAGACATGCAGAACCTGAATTTTAAAAAAAATGAACTTTCTTCCTGGGCAGAAGAGCCTCATGAGGGACAGGGCCTGCTCAGGGAGGGTATTCTAGCATGGTGGCAGCCTAAAGGTGTCAGGAGATTAGCTACACACGGGGAGATCAAGTAAATCAGTAGAATCCTGAGGATAATGACAGGCAAGTTTCTCACTGTGAGAGAAGAGTGTTATAAATAGTGATAGGAGAATGAGCCCCGTAGTACTGGATTGAAATGGAACATGGCAGTGTGAACTCACAGTTTTCAATATAGGTAGACAGACACAGAAATAAAAATGGATGTGAATGTGGGTGGTTTTTTAAAATTTTTATTGTTATGTTAATCACCGTACATTACATCATTAGTTTTTGATGTAGTGTTCCATGATTCATTGTTTCTGCATAACACCCAGTGCTCCATGCAGAACATGCCCTCTTTAATACCCATCACCAGGCTAACACATCCTCCTACCCCCTTCCCCTCTAGAACCCTCAGTTTGTTTTTCAGAGTCCATCGTCTCTCATGGTTCATCTGCCCCTCCGATTGAATGTGGTTTTTATATATGTATACAAGTGGATGTATGTGAATACATATTTATGTGCATATGTATATGCATAGATTTATTTCCTAGCTCAGTCCAATGACAAGGTGGGGGAGAAGAGACACTCTGGTAACTGTTCTAGTGTCTAAACAGTACCTTCTCTTCTCCACATGGCCTTTGTTCTTGGGGGAGCTCATCCATTTCCTAAGGCTTCATGCTGAAGCCTACGTCAAAATTAGACCTTTCACCTAAGCTCCAGATATTCAATGTATTCAACATTTTCAAACTGCTAATATGACTTCTCTACTTGGTTGTTTCACAAACATTTCAAACTTAACATAGTCAAAATAGAATATTTAATTTCCCTGTGTTCTCCCCAAGCCGTTCCTCCCCATTGTCCCAACTCTATAAATAACAACACTGGTCATTCACTCAGTCACTGAAGTCAGAAGTGTGGGAGGTATCCTAGCCTCCTCCCTTTCCCTTACCCTTCATAGTCTCTCCACCAGCAAGTTCAAATTGTTCTACTTCCAAAATATACCTTGAATTAATTCACTTGTCTCCATCCCTACTTGTGACCATGCTAGTTTAAGCTACCACGCCCCCTCTCCTAGATTACTGCACTAGCTGTCTAACTAGTCCCTCATATATCCATGGGGATCTCCGTACGTTCTATTATCAAAACAGCCAGAGCGAACTCTTAAAATGTAATTGAAGCTTGCCTTTCTCCTCCTCAAACCCTTAAAACCCTTCTAGGATTTTCCGGCCTGTTAGAACAAATCCAAGCGTCTGGCTGCGGTAAAGAGCCCCTGCGTGATCCGGCTACCTGCCTCAGGCCTCTGACTTCATACCATGCACTCTATCCCAGCAGTTACAACTCCGCAGTCAGAGTTCCTAGAACACACCAAGCTCTTACCTGTTTCCAGGTTTTTGCACTTGCCCTTCCTCTGCTTGCTATGCTCTACTTTCAGCTTTTCACATGATTGTCCCCTTCTCATTCCTTAGTTCTTAGCTTAAATGCCAGTTCCTCAAAGCAGAATTTCTTGGCCATCCTATCTAAGTAGGACCCTCTATTAGTCCCTATCACAGCCAACTGTTTATATTCTTCCTAACACCAGTTGCAATTGATTTTTTATTTTATTTTTTTGTTTTATGGCCAGTCTCTCTCACTAGAGTATAAGCTGTATGAGGGGAGTGATCTTGTCGTTCCTGTTTTCTCTTCCATTCTCATAGCTCAGCATGGTGGCTGCTATATACCATGTAGTTGATAAATTTTTATTGTATTTTATTTTATTGAGAGAGAGACAGAGACAGGGAGAGAGAGCATGAGCGGGGAAGAGAGGGAGAAGCAGGCTCCCCGCTGAGCAAGGAGCCTGATGTGGGGTTTCATCCCAGAACCCTGGGATCATGACCTGAGCCAAAGGCAGACACAACCGACTGAGCCACCCCAGTGCCCCTGTAGTTGATAACTTTTTATCAAATTCAAAAACAACTTGTAGAAATTCACTATGTATTAGATGCAAAGGTTTCAGAAGCAGAACACAAAATTTCTCCAACTGGCTTACAGTCTAGATGGGAAGCAAATAAGCAATTGCAATTCTGCCTGGGTAGTACTGTAATAGGGAAAGTCTCATATGCGAGAGGCCCCTAATCTGGGCTCAAGGCCAATCACAAAAGGCTTATTGGAGGTTGTGACATCATAGTAAACCTGCTGGACAGATGAGTTAGTCAACAAAGATACAGTGGGGTAGGGCAGAGGCCAAGAATAACATGTGCCTAGAAAGGAGGCAGACCGTGGCATATTCAGGAGGCTAAATGCCTTAGGGGTGGACAGTAGAGATGAGGGTGAAGAGAATGAATGGCAAGAGATGAAGCTACAGAAATAAGGTGACATAAGGGTAAACCCCATTAAATGGTTTTTACTACGTGTTGAGGGAGTGAGATGGTCAGTGGAAGGTTTCATGCAGGGAGTAACATGATCAATTTTCTGTCACACAAAGGTTATTTCGACCACAGCATGTTTAAGGAATGTAAGACCAACAAGGGTTAGGGCGCTAGACAGCAATCTAGGTAAAAGTCTACAGGATGACAGTGACTGAAACGAGGGCAGTAACAATGGGAATACAAAGACTAAGACTAAGACAAAAAAAAAAAAAGAAAGAAGAATAAGACAGACTTGGAGACTATTTAAAAAAATAGCAAGTGTAGAAACTGGCAATTCAATAAATAATTTGTTAAATGATTTGAGGACAAATGGTTAGATCTTTGGAGGACGAGTTAGAGGCCTCCTTCAAAACTGTATCAAAATAGGGCATATCAAAGTAGGAGCACGAGCAGGGGGAGTGGCAGAGGGAGAAGCAGCCTCCCCGCTGAGCGGGGAGCCCGATGCGGGGCTCTATGCCGGGACTCCCGGATCATGACCTGAGCAAAGGCAGACACTTAACCGACTGAGCCACCCAGGCGCCCCTGACAATTATTTTTAAATAAATGTTTTTAGGATGTTAAAAAATGTAAGCCAAGGAACAACTTCTATTAATATTAATAATAATTTGTAAAAAGTGAGTATATAGAAAATAAAAAACATCTGGATATAAAAAAGGAACAAAGATGATTAGAATTTACATATTTTTATAGCCATTACAAACTTAACAGATGAGTTGAACTCCAGACTAGATACATTTGAAGAGTGACTTTACTGAATTGGAAGACGGTGCTGAGAGATCTACCTAGAACACAGCACAGACAGCCAAAGAGCTAGCTAGCTAGCTAAAGAAAAAGCAGTTATTCAGGAAACGAAAAACAGATTGAGAAGCTCCAGCCTACATTCAATACAAATTCCAAAAGAATGGAGGGATGCTGGAAAAACAATATTTGAAGAAATAACAGCCAAGTAATTGTAGAATTAAAATACACACACACACACACAGAGTACTAAGCAGCATACATCTACAATTAACACATTATATTAAAATGTACATCATCTGGGATAGAGATCTAATTTTAAGAGCTATTACAGAATTAATATGATGGTGGTAACACCGTCAGAAAGAGTGAACTTCGTGAGGTTGTACTTCAGAAAATAGATTATATGGAAAAAATTAAATTTGTTTTCTATCTCATACCACACATAAATATAAACTTAAGAGGAATTAAAAACTTAAATGTGAAAAGCAAATCTATAACACTTTTAAAAGAAAATTTTAGATAATATATTTATGACCTTGGGGTAGGGGAGGATTTCTTAATTTAGGTTAAAATGAGAATCATTTAAAAAGTGAATACATTTTCCAAATTTAAGAAGGAAAACTTTATTCAACCAAAGACACCATAAATAAGTGATAAGACAATCCAGAAACTTTTCTTTGCAATGAAAGAACATATTTTCAAAGCCTATATTATACCACTGGATGTAGACAAAGGGGTAAGTGTCCTCCTTGCATTGCTGATTAAACCTTTCTCCTTCACTCCTTCCTTCCTAAAACCCTCTGTTTTAATTAACATGTCATGTGACTATGCCGTTCACGTTGCTCCTTGTTACCCTCATCCTCCTATCCTGAGACACCTGTCGTTCCTTGAAGGTTTTAGCCGGCAGTTCGCTGTCATCCCAACACTATTCGTGTCATAATTCTCGGTGGTTTCAATATCCATTTCCTGATATGGTCCTTTCAGTAATCTAGCCCCTAAGTATCTGGCCTCCTCTTCTCCAGGACTGTTGTCTTCCAACTTAGCTGCTCACTAACATGGCCAAATCTCTAGAACTGCACTGCTCAATCTGGTAGCTACTCACTTCATGTTGCTTTTAATTTTAAACTTATTAAACTTAAATACAATTTAAATTTCATTTCCTCAGTTGGCCCATTTTCAGTGATCGGTAGCCGTGAGTAGCAACCATATTAGACAATGGACATGGAAGAGTCCCATCATCGCAGGAAGTTCTGTTGAACAGCACTGCTCTAGATCTTCTTGTCACCCATAACGACAACTCCTCCATAATGCCAGTATCAAGCATCACACTCTCTGACCAAGGCCTTCTACTCTTTGAGCTTATCTCTGACTCCAACAATTTGTCAAATATATTTGGACCTATAATCTATTAAATCTTCCACCATTTTATTGTTCCTTACCCTGTGCCATGTTCTACTTCCATTATTATCCAATTTAAATCCCATGATCAACCATTATGTACCTCCCCTTGTGTACATCTTAAACTACCTTGTCCCTCTTACTTTTTTTTTAACATGATAAATTCTAGGTAAATCTAACTTTCTGCCTGTTTCTTATCTGGATAAATGTAATTCTCTACTTAACTCTGCACCCACACCTCTGCTGCCAACTGTGGGTGGAGAAAAAAACAAAACAAAATAAAACCCACACAGTTATCACTAACCTCAAGTAGGCCCTTAATGCTACCTACCAATCATTACTGTTCACTAGTGCATTCAGTCTCCCGTTCTCTTAGACTACTTATACTTTCTTCTCATTTTCAAACCTCTGACAACTTCTCCCTATTCTCACTCTCAGCTGATGATGTGCATTTTATTTAGCTGAGAAACAGAAGCAATAAGAAAAGAATTACCATCTGTTCCACCATCACACCTACTCACCTACCTGCACTTGTGTCCATTTGCTCTGCGTTGTCACCTGTTGCTATGAACAGACTGTGTCTATGGTTCTCATGAAGACCAGTCCTCTACTCTACACTAGACCTCACCCCCTCCAGCCTCTTTAGGGATCTCAGTATACCAGTTGTCTACTTTCTCTCTGGCATTATCACTTTTTCCCTCTCTACAGGATCTTATCATCATGAAACTATGGTTTTATTTATCCCATCTTAAAAAAAACTCCACTGACCTCAATTTTCCCACCCATTACTCCTTCATTTCCTTCTTTCCCCTTTAAGCAAAAATCCTTGAAAGAGTAGTCCACCTGTACCCACTACTCTAACTTCTCTCCTCCCACTCTCTCTTGAACCCACACTGATCAGGTTTTTGCCCCTATACTGTATCATCAATTCTCATGTCAAGATCACCAAAGATTTCCATGTGGCTAAATTTATTGGTCAATATCAGTCCTCATCTTGCTTGTTTATTAGCAATGTGTGTGACCAAGATGATTCCTCCTTCCTTTGTGAGACTCTTTCTTTACTTGACTTCCAACATGGTTTTCTCCCTACCTTACTATTTGCTCCTTCTCAGACTCTTTTGTTGGTTTTACCTTATCTCCGTGACCTCTGAACATTGAAATAGCTCAGCCTTTGGATTTCTTCTCTCCGATGTCTATACTCACTTTATGGTAGTTTGAACCATGTTTTACAACAATTTGCTCCCTCCCTTCTATAAAGATTGTACATCCACATTTTTGGATTTGTCTCAAAATGCCTCTTCAGTGCACAATATACATCTTTGTCACATTGCAAGGCTGGGCTACGTGACTTTCTTTGGCCAATGAATGAAATAGAATGTAAGCATGTGGTGTATGCCATGTACAAAGAGAAGCTTTAAATTGGATTGCATTGTTTAGGTTGGCCTCTCTTGCTTCTGCCCTTTGCCATGAGTGTACCATGTGCCAGATAGTGGCTGTTCCTTCAGCTTAGGGCTCAAATTAGAATACACTTGAATCAGACATAGCTGGCTCACAGCCTAGAGTAGAGTCATAATCAATTTGCCACCCATATGTAACAAAAGGAAGAAATAAATGTTACTCTAATCCACTGAGATTTGGGGGTGGCTTGTTACTTCAACAATGTTGACTAGTAAAACTCCCTTTAAATTCTCCTGAATGCCTGTTTCATATGTCCAGTTGCCAACTGGGCACCTCCACTTGAATGTCTATAAGGCAATTCAACCACAAGAGGTCCAAAAATGAGCTCCTAATCTTCTCTACCAAATCTGATCTTCTTGAAGTTTTTTCATTATTAAGTAATAAAAACTCCAACCTTCTATGATAAAAAAAAAAAATAAGAAAACAAAACAGAACAAACCTAAAGTCATCCCTGATTTCTCACTTTTGCTTTTATTCCATGCCCAATATAACAACAAATCCTGTTAGTCCTACTTTCAGGATAAATCTAGATTCTGAAAACTTCTTACTACCTTTACTGATACCACCTTAGCCCATTCTATTACCATTTTTGCCTGTTTACTGTTATCATCATACCAATCCCCACCGAAGGGTTGGTGACTTTTGCTTTCTCCATCCACAGTCTCTGGTCCTAAGCATCACTAGAGAAAGTTCTTCTAGAATAGAAAAACAAAAATTAATAACTACCCAACAAATACTACCCAACCTCAGCTGGGTCACAGTTGCTCATAAGTTATCTTCTAATTTTTTCTAATCACTTTTTACCACCTCAGTAACACCTCAGTCCATGATCTTCCACCTGGATTATTGTGAAAGCTACTCACTTTTCTTCTGCTCTTGTGCCCCACAGTGGGCCTTTTAAACCAATAAGTCAGGGCACCTGGCTGGCTCTGTTGGTAGAGCATGCAATCTTGATCTCAGGGTTGTGAGTTTGAGCCCCACATTGGGTGTAGAGTACTTAAAAGAAATAAAATCTTTAACCAAACAAACAGTAATCAGATTGGGTCACTTTTTTGCTCAAATCTTTCCTTTCCTCAAATGGCTTATCACCTCACTGAGAGTAAAAGTCAAGTCCTTGTAATGGTCCACAACATCTTTTACATGCTGCACATACACCTTCGCCACCTTACTGCTCCAATCTCAACTCTTTGTGACTCATTTTTGGCCCCACTGGCCTCCTTGCTGTTCCCTGCACCAATCATTTATGCTCCAACTCCAGGGCCCTTGCATTTGTTTTTCTAAGATGTTTTTCCACCAAATATCCCCGGGGCCTGTTTCCCCCACCTTCCTCAGGTTTGACTCAAATGTCGGTCTTTCAGTGAAGCGTTCCTTGACCTCCCTATTTTAAGTTGTAGTCCTTCCCCAGAACTCCCTATCCCCCTTCCCTGCTTTATTTCTGCCTATAGCATTTATCCCAGGGTATGTAAAATCCAATATACATAAACTTCACTTATCTATTATGTTTATTGTTTCTCTCCCTATACTAGAATGTATGCCTCATGAACTAAGAGGGTTTTTTTTCTGTCTTGTTCACTGCTGTATCCTCTAAGTGCACTAAGTGCTCAGTAAATATTTGTTGAGAGAATCAGTGTAACTAACAAAAGGTAATATGCATAATATATAAGTGCTCCTACATGTCCAAGGAAACATAAAAATAACCAACTGAAGGGTGCCTGGGTGGCTCAGTCAGTTAGGCATCCAGCTCTTGATTTCAGCTCAGGTCATGATCTCAGGGTCATGAGATCGAGCCCCGCATGGGGCTCCATGCTGGATATGGAGCCTGCTCAGGATTCTCTCTCTCCCTCTCTGTCTCCCTCTGCCTCTCCCCCTGCTCTCATTCTCTCTCTCTCTCTTTCTCAAAAAACAAAACAACAACCCACAAAAAACAACCAGCTGAAACATTAACTGAGGATATGAATAATGACCTCACAGAAGAAACACATAATCAGTAAACATAAGAAACAGGACTCAACCTCAAGTGATCAGTGAATTAAGCAGGGTGAGATATCTTTTCATAACCATCAGACTGCCAAAAATTTTAGAAGTCTTACAATACCACGCATTGGCAAGGATAGGGAGCATCAGTAACTCTCACACACCTGCTGGTACAACTTTGGAGATGTGAACTATCTAGTAAATACTGGCAATACACAACTTTGGAGATGTGAAATATCTAGTAAATACTGGCAGTACACATACCCTTTACCCAGCAATTCCATGGCTAGATATAAACCCAAGAAGTATGTGCTAACAAGTCTTTTTATGAGCAACATGTAAGAGAGTCTTCATGTCAGCATTGTTAATAATAGCCCTAAACTAGAAGTTCAAATGTCCATTAGTTCTTCTAATCCATTCTTCTAATAAATACATAAATTTGGTACATGCAAACAATGGAGCATTTTATAGCAATGAAAATGAGTGAACTATAGCCAAACAAGAACACAAAGACTAGATTCCTGACCCACAGAAACTGTGAGATAATATTTGTTTGTGAGATAATGTTTATTGTTACCTGCCATTAAGTTTTAGAGTAATGTTGTATATAGAAATGAGTTAAGTAATACAAAAATGGTGGTATTGGTGGGGCTTATTAGAATTACTTAGGGGAATTTTTTTAAATTATTAATACCTGCACTCTGGTATGCTGGTATATCTCACAAATCCTCCACACAAGGACATGGGAGGATATCCTATCACTCACACATGTCTGTGGAACAGTTTGGCAATCATCTAGTAGATCTGAAAAGGTTGCTATTTCTTTTTCTCCCAAAACTCTTATAAAATTGAGAGCTTAAAAATTACAACCATCAAGTACAACAGAATGTAAAATGAGGCAAGAGTAGATGAGAGATATCAACATAATCTTCAGAAATGAAAAGCATATGGAGAAGTAGTAACCGTTGGGTTTTACCTTCTCCATTCTGCAATGTGCCTGCAGAGCAGGGAGCCTAGGAGAAAGATCCTTATTCCCGCCACAGAATCTTAGAAGTCTCAGGTATATGCCCTTTTACTGCCCTTGCCCTACTGTGGTAGATGTCATGGATTATCTTGACCAACAACTACTCTAATGCTTATGGTGTACAGAGGCTGGTTGGAAAGTTAATAAAAAAAAAAGGAGACTGTGTTATATGTTAGTTTTCAGGATATGAATTAGGTTCCAAAAATGAAATGTACTTATATTAGATCTGGAAGGTAGAAATTAGGGGCAGGCCATCTTCTTGTTCCTTTGACCGTTGCTTCTGGACAGCATGGATATGGAGACAATGAGTTTTTCTGCTAAATTCTAGGTCCTAGATTTGAGAATGTGGAGATACAGCTGCAGCATGGCAATGGTGGCTTCATGAGCCTTGGGACACAGTACTAAATTTAGTCTGTTTCACCCCCTGGAAGCCTAGCCTTGCCTTCTTTCCAAGCTCTTCCAGTGAATTTGGAAGCTCCTTATTAGTTGAATTAGATATCTCTCTGATGGAAAAAAAAAAAAAATCCAGATTGGCTTCTGTTTCCTCTAATGAACCATGACTGATAATACTCATTCTTACAGAATAAAGGATGTTTACAATCTGAAGAGGTGCCAAAATGGTACTAAAATATCACTCCATGGATTATTTGCTGATTGCAAGTGAAAAAAATGTAATTTAACTGAGGGGAGATCTGGCTGTTGCCTCCCTAACCCAGTAATAAATGTTAGCATCACTAAAAGTGGACAATCAGCAGTAATGTGCCTAAAATGTGATGTAATATAAAGTACATAACACCAGCTACGAATTTTCCTGACAAAAATATTTAACTTGAATTGAAATCAGCCTTTATATTTCATCTCCGGTTTACAGGAAATTTAGGGGTAAATGAACATGTTAAATGACACCAAAAAAGAAACAATCAGACCAATCCAGAAGATGGGACAAAGCTAGCGACAATGGGCCCAATTCAACAATTCAGTGACATAAAAAAGAGGGAGGGGAGCACCGTTGACATAAAAAAAAAAAAATTAAACCATACAACAACCTGAGCAACATATGGTTTTTATTTGAATCCTGGCTTGAAAAACACACTTTTTGAAACCATTGAGAAAATATGAATATGGTCCCTTACATAATATGAAGGTATTATTATTAGTTTTGTTAATTATGATAATGATATTGTTTTTAAGAGATGCATTTTAAAGTATTTAGGAGTGAAATGTCATGATGTCTCTAATTTAAAATACTTCATGAAAAGAAAGATGAAGAAGAAATGGCCAATTGTTCAATCAAGGAGCAAGTATATTGGTAGCTATTATGGTGTTCTACTTTCCTTTTTCTTTTTTTTTTTTTTTAAGTAATCTCTACGCGCAACATGGGGCTTGAACTTACAACCTCGAGATCAAGAGTTGCATGCTGTACTGACTGAGCCAGCCAAGCACCCCTTTACTTTCCTTTATATTTGAATATTATAATAAAACTAAAAATAAACTTAGTGGTAGGAATTAAGAAAGTGATGAACTCATAGCTTGAGGCAGGAACTGAGTCAAGGTTACTTTTACTGTGGACATATTTGTAAGCTGAAGGGAAGAAGGCAATACAGAGAGAGAGGGAGGAGCTGTAGTGAAGTCAAGAAGTGGGGCAGAATAGATTGTAAGGACATGTGAAGAGTTGGAACCCAGAAAGGAAAACCAGCACCTATTCCTCTGAGACAAGGACAAAAAATAATGAGTGAAGAGGTGAGAGCATGCTAAAGTGGAGACAGCCAAATGGGAACAGGCTTCCCCTGGAGGAAAGCTAAGGATAGACCAAGGACAGACCAAGGATAGTGAAGGTAGCCATGGGGACTTGAGGAGAATGAGAAAGTTCTGGAAATGATGTTGGATAAATTCTGAAGAGATATATTCCCGAAGAGAGGTGTTACCTCTCTTGTGAAGTTAGAGAGCATCCATTTATAAGTGAAGCAAATCAGCGTGGTTTTATGATTTCCTTCAGGCATGTTCATCAACCGGGGAATGGAAGAAAGAGCAGAGAATACTAGATTTGCCCTAAAGTGGAGGAAGGGAAAGTGGGACAATCCCACAAATCAAATAGGTGACTGTGGGTGTTTCTAGGTTTTTAGGAAGGCCATACCCAACTAGCTGCTCATAGGAAGCCCCCTGGATGGAGCTTTGAGTAAGACTGGAAGAGGGTTAGCACACTAGGACAAGAAAGGCTGGAAGGGATAGGACGTCATGTTTGCTGTCAAGGATGGTGTAATAGGAGTGAAGATGTGGGACAAGCAGAGGGAATGAAAAGTTGTAGTCAAGACAGGAAACACAGACGGTGAGAGTTTGGAGATTATAAAATTCCAAGTGGTGTTGAGGTGCCATGTGTGACCATCCAGATGTGTAACTGAAGTAGAAACTAGTCGGCCAAGTTATTAGATGAAAATGAACATGGATGTAGTAGGCAGCCTCTGAGACAGCCCCTGAAGATCCCCCCTCCCATTACTCACACCCTGGTCTAATTCTCTCCCTTTGTTATAGACTGGACCTACTGACTTACTTTTTTTTTTTTTTTAAGATTTTATTTATTTATTTGAGAGAGAGATGCACAGAGCAAGAGGGAGAGACAGCACCAGCGAGGCCGAGGAGTACAGGGAGAAGTAGAAGCCAACTCCCCACCAAGCAGGGAGCCTGACACCAGGCTCGATCCCAGGACCCCGAGATCATGACCCAAGCTGAAGGCAGACGCTTAACCAACCAAGGCACCCCAGAGCGCCTTTACTGACTTACTTTTAACAAATAAAATAAGGCAAAAAATAATGGGCTATCACTTCTGAGATTAGGTTACAAAAAGACTGGCTTCCATCTCACCTGCCCTCTCTTGCTTTTTTATCTGTTTGTTCTATATGAAGCCAGCTGCCATGTTGTGGGCCACCCAGTGGAGAGACCAACCAGGCAAGGAACTCAGGAAGCCTTCTATCCAACAGCCCATGAAGACATGAGTCCTACCAACAACCACACGAGTGAGCTTGGAGTGACTCCTCCCCAGCTAAGCCTTAGATGACTAAAGTCCAGCTGACAGCTGACACCTCATTGCACCCTGTAAGAGTCCCTGAGCAGAGGATCCAGATAAGTCCTACCCAGGGGCACCTGGGTGGCTCAGCCGATTAAGCATCCCATTCTAGATTTCCACTTGTGTCATGACCTCAGGGTTGTAAGATCGAGCCCCGAGTCGGGCCCTGTGCTGGGCATGAAGCCTGCTTGGGATTCTCTCTCTCCCTCTGCCGCTGCTCCCCCATCCCCTGATCTCTCTCTATCTTTCCCTTTAAAAAAAAAAAAAAAAAAAAGTTTTGCCCAGATTCCTGATGCACAGAAACTGTAAGATAATAAGTATTGTTTTAAGGCGATAAGTTGAGGTGATTTTATATGCAACCATAGATAACTAATACAATGGGTGTTGATGTCTGAAGAAAGACAGAGGACAAGCTAGAAAGGAAAACCATGCAGCCAGGAGCGGTAGGCCTCCTAAAGACTTAAAGCAGAGCTTCTCCAATGTTCATGATGCCTACAAATCACTTGCGGGTCATGTTAAAATTCAGATTCTGATTCAGCATTTCTGGGGCAGGTAAACAGGAGTTAGGAGAATCCAAATCAATATGCTTGTGGAAGGGGTCAAACTGTTCACTAAAATAAAGAGGCAGATTAAGGCATATATAAGTCAGGGCCTACAGGGAGGCCAGGGAATAATAATAGAAGGATCAGATAAGCAGATCAGTCTGGGTGAAAACATAATGCACTGAGTATTGCCTAAGACTAGCTTTTATGGGTTCTCCACGGTATGGTGTTTGGACAGGTCTCTCACAGTTAGGGAATAGGATTCTCTCTGTCTCTCTCGCTCTCTCTCTCTCTTAGTATCTACCTACCTCTATTTGATAAAAACTGATTTAGAAAGGCCATTAGGGTAGATGGAGAAATAGCTCATTCGTTTAGCAACCCTCAACTGAGCACTTATTATGTGCTAGGCATTGAGCAACAAAGTGGATGAGAGAGGCCCTGTCCCGACGATGGAAACAGCAGAGGAGACAGATGTATCAAGAATTACTGAGTAATACCAATACAAGTTGATTGGTCTTATAATAGAGGTATGAAAGTTATGGTAGCCTGACCGAGGAAGTGATTAATTTTTCCCAAGAACCCAGAGGTAAAAGAAGGTTCAAAGAACAGGTGAGGTGTGCCCTGGGCCTTTAGCGGAGTACATGTTGAAAGGAAGTCAGGGAATTCTAGGTAGATTGGTTTGTAAATAAAACTCTCTCAGAACCCTTGCTTGTACCAGTAGCTGATGCTCACACAGCAACAGACTTCTAATCTTTGTTTGGTTTCCTTTGTGGGAAGAGAACTCGCAAACTGTCCAACACAAATATTGCCCCACTTGGCTGCTATATTTCTCATTGTCAATGATTAAATTGATTTTCTGATACAAATTAGACTCACCTGAGTTTGAGATGCAAGAGCCAGTTTTTCTCAGGGCCTGATCAAGCCAGGATCAAGCCAAGATTGAGTGACCCAGATTTACAAGGACAGAAAACGCAGACAATCTAGAAGGGCAACGTCTTTTCTGACCAACCCCCCACTCCCCCTCTGTACACAGGGAATGACAAACCTAGAGGACACAAGTGATGCGAACATTGTTTACTGAAAAGTACAAAAGGCAAATACTGTAAGACTTAGGGTTGGGGTAAGAACCTTGAAAGAAAGCTAGCCAGAGACCTAATGAACATATTTGAATAGATACAGACTTGGCGGTACTGCAGTCATTTGTGTGCATCAACAGCGAGCCCTCGGTACCATGCTTTTATGCTTTTGGCCACAGCAAAGACCAATAAAGAGAAGACAGCTTGCTGAACTGTTCCTGAAGCCTCTTTGAAACTGTACAGAAGGTCAGTTTGACATCACACACTAATGTTCTGCTTGATCAAGTCTGACCAGTTTTTCTCTCAGTTAATAGGGCAGTGCTTTCCCTGCTCTGTGATTTCCCACTGGCCTTGAAATGCTGTGGTAGCAGCAGGGACTGATGGAATCCCAAGCCAAGGGTGCATGTGCCTACCTGGGTACCCTCAGTGAAGGTGCCCTGGGCGGCCATGCCCTGCCCTGGCTCCAACTTAACTCAAACACGGCCATCCCAACATAAAACTGTCACCGTGTCCTTGGCCCACCCTCTTGTATTGAAGTCTTAAGGTTTTGAGTTCCATGTCTCGTTTTTCTCTTCACAGTATAAAATCCTATGTGAGAGTCCTCAGAAGAAAATTCCAAAGGCATTATTCTTCCCCACTGAAATGTTTATGTCACACTTGAACAGCAGATCTGATTCACATACAGCGTCAAACATTTCATTACTTTTTTTACTGCTCGGTCTTTGTCAGTATGCACATGTGTATTTTTAGAGAGTTGAAATCAAGGTGTTCATTATCCTGTTTATTAAACTGATTTCACATTTGCCACCTTTAGACACAGACACAGAGACACACTCGTGCCTCAGGGTAGACCAGATTCTTATCATTTAAAGCAGGTACAGAGTATTCCAGTGTAGTGAGAGGGCAGGATTTGCTTAGCTCTGCCCTTTATTATTGCATTTTGGTTTGTTCTCAGTTTTGAATATTGTGAATAAAGCTATTATGTACATCCTTGTACAAATTGCCCTTTTTTCTCTTAGGTTATTGACTTGGAACATATTTCCCCAAGGAAGGAGCCAATGGGTAAACAGTGAGGAATCACTGAAGGATTACAAGCAGAAAAAGAGCATGTCATATTTTCATCTTTAAAACATCTGTCCAGGGAGGGTAATATGTATTCCAGGGTTCTTATGAACACTAAGTGAGGTCAAGAAGTTGAAGGAAGAGTAAAGAAATTATGCAGACACAGATCATTCTACTCAGAATGTTCTCAGGAAGTCTACCTATCAGAGTCTAATCATAGTTAGCTGCAGATCATCCATGGATTGCATCACACGATCACACACTCAAAGTGTTTTTCTTGGGTTCCTATTTTATGTCTGTATGCTGAGGACAATACAGCGCCACGAGAAGCAGTGGATCCCAACAAATACCCATTAAAAAACAGACCTGTCCTTTGTCTCGTGGGTAAGCACCTGTTTCAGGAACCCAAACCAACCTCAGAAGCAGGAAAGTGGCCTCCTCTGAAGCATGACAACTTCTGTGACCTGATAAAGAGAAAGGAGACATTATCTAGTCTAGACACTGGCTTAAGGGCAGCTCCTCACATTTCTCTGCTCTCTTTTCATTTTATTCACTGTAATCCTCTTACTCTATTTAAGTCCTGTTTTTTGCTTCTCTCTCTGCTCTTAAGCACTCAAAATGCTCTGGCTTCACCACCTCTGGGCTCTGTTTTCTATCTGAAGAGGTGATCTTGATGGTCTCTTCTGGGCCTTGGAGCTCTGAGATCCGGGGCTCTGTAGTTCTGCCCGCTCTCTGGATGGCAAGGCCTGGCCTGGCTCCAACCTCGGTATTCTCACACCATGAACCCCTGGCTCTTCAGGTAACTCTGTCAAGATGCGGCATCGGAATCACCTTAAAACATGCTAAAATGCAGGGTCCTGGCTCCAGGCCTGTGGAATCAGAGTCTCAGGAGTGACGCCCGAGGAAGCTGGGTTGTTGCTGTTTTAATAAAAGGCAAACATGTATTCAACAAACATGGCCACCGCCTTAAAGGAACACCTACCCTTGCAAATCCCTTCACTCTTTACCTTCCCAGTCATTAGCTCTTCTTCTTCAAGGTTCTGCTTTCTGAAACAGGTCAAAACAGTTACAGCAGAGTCACATCAAAGATGACAGGTTCAAATGATAGGACTGGCATCAGAGAGACGCACAAGGGAGAAGATCTTTTCAATCCCACTTATTCCAATCCTACCTGCTCTGCAGTTGCCTAATCTATACCATTAAGGCTGGCACTAAATGTGACATTGGAAGGCTGTCTTAGGTAGAAGTGTGTCTCCCCCATACCCCACCCCAAATTCACATGCTGAAGCCCTAGCTTCCAGCATATCAGAATGTGACCTTATTTGGAAATAGGGTCTTCACAGATATAATTAGTTAAGATGAGGTAATACTGGAGTAGGGCAAGCCTCTAATCCAAGACGACTGGTGTCTACAAAAAGGGAACATTTAGACACACAGAGATAAGCACACAGGGAGAACACCATGTGAACATAAAGGTTAAGATTAAGGTGATGCAGGGCACCTGGGTGGCTCAGTCATTAAGCGTCTGCCTTCGGCTCAGGTCATGATCTCAGGGTCCTGGGATCGAGCCCCGCATTGGGCTCCCTGCTCAGAGGAAAGCCTGCTTCTCCCTCTACCACTTCCCCTGCTTGTGTTCCCTCTCACTGTGTCTCTCTCTGTCAAATAAATAAATAAAATCTTAAAAAAAAAAAAGATTAAGGTGATGCATCTATGAAGTCAGAATGCCCCAGACTGCCAACAAATCACCAGATGCCAGAAGAGAAGCATGGGACAGATTCTCTCTCCCAGCCTTAGGAGTAATCCACACTGCCAACATATTGATTTCTCTCTTCTAGCTTCCAGAACTGGAAGACAATACATTTCTGTTGTTAAGCCATTCAGGTTGTGGTGCTTTATTATGGCAGCCGTTTACAAACAAACACCGAGAACTTCGTTACATTCCTGGCTTGGTCGTGGGGAACTTAGGCTATCACTCTAGCTCCTCTGGGCTGCCATCTCATCAGAAAGACAGAAAATATGTTGTGTTCAACAATGAGATCTGTGTGACAGCACCTGTGAAGCACTGACTGTTAGTGAGTGGCTCAGTTGGTTAAGCGACTGCCTTCGGCTCAGGTCATGATCCTGGAGTCCCGGGATCGAGTCCCGCATCAGACTCCCTGCTCAGCGGGGAGCCTGCTTCTCCCTCGGACCCTCCCCCCTCTCATGCTCTCTATCTCATTCTCTCTCTCAAATAAATAAATAAAATCTTTAAAAAATTTAAAAAAAAAAGAAAAGAAAAGAAAGAAATTATCATTCACCAAGTGGCCAGTTGGGGAACTGCTTTGGGAAGACCATAAAAGAATTCCTTGATAACCAAGAATGATCTTTACTATATAAAGACAGCACCAGATATGTAGGTGCCTTCAGTTAGCCAAAATGTGTGGTTAGTACAGAAGAATTCCCTGTGTTTCGGTTCAGAGCCAACCCCTCCACTTGTATATCAGATTGTACCCCTTCTCGCCTGGTCAAGAACATCACTCCCGCATTCTCCCCTTTCCTGATTACTCCATCTTGATGTCCTTTGCTGAAACCTCTTTCTCTCCCAACTTATTAATGTTGGCATGCCCAAAGGCTCAGTCCCCGGACCTATTCTCTATCCACACTCATTTCCTTAGTGATCTCATTCAGCCTTTGGCTTTAAATACCATCTGTATGCCAACAACTCCCACATTTATAACTCCAGCCCAGACTTTTTTCCCCTGAACTCCAGATTTGTATATCCAACAACTTGCAGCCTGCTCCATCTTGATGATCATAGGTATCTAACTCATCTGTTTTTTTTTTCTTTCTTACATACCATGTCTAATCCATAGCAATTCCAACGGGCTCTACCCACTAATGCTACCCAAAATCTGACTACGTCTCATCACTTCCACTATTACAACCTAGTCTATGCTAGCAGTGTCTCTCTTCCTGATAAATGAAATTGTGTTCTATCTGGTTTCCCCCTTTCCACTCTTGCTTTCATACAATCAGCTCACAACACAGCAGTCAAAGTGATCTGGTTATAACATGAGAGAACATGTCACTCCTTTGCTCAAAACCCTCTAATAGAGACCCATGTCATTCAGAATAAAAATCCTACAGTGTAAATGTAGAAGTCTCTACAGTGGCCTACAGGTCCTTGTTCCTTCTCCCATCTTCCACAATCCCCTCCCCACCCCACTGCTCCAGCCACCCTGGCTTCCTGATATTCTTCAAACATACCAAACACACCCCTGTGTTGCTGTTTCCTTTGTCTGGTGTGCTCTTTCCCCAGACGTCCACTTGGCCAATCCTTTCAACTCCTTCAGGCCTTTGCTCAAATGTTACCTTCTCAATAAGGCCTACCCTGACTATTCTATTTAAAATTGCAACCAGCTCCCAACAGTTTCAATTCCTCTTATTCTGCTCTTCTTTCTTTTTCTAGAACACCAATAGACTCCTAGCATACACTATATAACGTACCTATTCATCATGTCTATTGCTAATTATCTATCTCTCCACACTAGAATACAAGTTCCATGAGGGCACAAATCTTTGTTTTGCTCATTGATCTATTTCAATCTCCAAGAACAGTGCCTTCACATAGTAGGCACTCAATAAATACTTGTTGAACAAATGAAAGATTAAGAAAATAGGAATTTATATTTCTCTTTAAAAAGAGAGTCTTATTTTTTTGGTGCAAATTCTCATCCTGAATTGAAAGCTAAAGGACTCATCTGTCAAGTTCCCAGTGAGTGGTTTGGCAATTATATCAACTACAGGCAGGTCCTCTTAGGTCGATAGACACCTGAGGCTATTTATTTTATTGGTGAAAGCTTGGTGTGAGAGCATTTTGGTCCAGTTCACGAAAACAGCAGTGTTCTAACCAGCAGCTCCAATAAATCTTACACATTCTTGAGCCCATAAGTCCTGGCCTCTTGCCTCTCTACACATCCATTCATCCAACTAAGAAGAACTTCTTGTTGGAGCACACAGGAGCACTTGATTAGTAAGAGCAATGGGAAGGAACACAATCTTCTTCCTTTTCTGCCCTGGGGACAAAACTTTACAGCGACCAGATCTTTGCTCAGTACATACAGCATGTGATGAGAAAGATTTTGCATCTCTTTCCACAAATACTGGATGGCTTGCCCAATG